ACCAGTTTACTTCTGAATTGATATAGATTATACAGAAATTCTTTAACTTACTGAACAATTATAATTTCTATTTACTTTCTGGAAAAAAGATTTTGTTTTTATATAAGCACTAATGCTGAGTAGATGTGTGTGTGTATATATATATATGTATATATATATATATATATACATATATATATTATGTACATATTTTATATATTTATTCTTATATATTACATAATATAACATATATTTATATAAACAATATATGTTATATATATGCTTAATTTTAAAATTTAATTTCTATATACCTTTGAGCATTTGCAACCAATCCTAAATTTGATAAAATAAATAAAGTACTTATGTATCTATTGTTAGTCTCTACTTTACCCACTTGGCTACTTCCTCTGCTCTAAGGAGGTTTAAGCATTTCTGGAAGCTCTTTCAGTGGTCACTATATATGGACAAAGAGAGGTAACTTACTGACACAATTCATTTAACACTTTAAATATTGCTCTTTTTTAAAAAGTGTTTGTGTTTATAAAGGTAGGCTATAAATAGTTAGAAAATCACTGGATTAGACTGGTAGAAAAGAATAATATCAGTTGGAAAGTACAAAATGTTTTCCCGTGTGTTAACTCATTATGTCTTTTCAAGGTAAATTGTGAACTCTGAGAGGTAGCATGTCTTATTCACCACTGTATCCCCAGTGCATAGAATAAATCCAAATGCAACTGACTATTACTTAACAAGTAAATATATTAAATGAATAAACAGCTCCAGAAGATAGAAACAACAAGTATTATCTAAATTTTATCAAAAAAAAAGGAAGCTGATAATAACAGACGTTCAAAGGATCACATTAACACTAAGTAAAACAATCAAATTAGAGCCCAAGCCCTCCATTTCCTGGTTCCGAATACTGCTTTGATCAAATCTGGGAAAAGGGAGGGAAGAAAAATTAGGGGGGAAAGGGAATCCAGGAAGGAAGAAAAGAAGAAAGGAAGGGAGGGAAGTTGGGAAAGAGGGAAAAAGCAGGTTTATTTTGCTTTCAGCACTATAACATCTTCTTTCACAGTCTGATCTCTCAAGGAAAGATCAACTATAGTAAAGCCTAAAAGAAAAAATATTATATCTATTCCTTTTACTTTCATTTTTGAAAAAATATATTGGCAGCAGGGAACAGTACTGTTCTAATTTATATGATTTATGAGAATATCACACTTCTCTTAAAAAGCAAAAATATTTGTTTTTTTATGACCACTTTTCTTAAATAAGATTTGGGAAATCAGTGCACATGTCATATGAATCTTTGTCCCAGCTGCCATTTCCTTCCCCTTTTGACAGTCCTTTTAACACCTGGGAGGGTTTGCTTTTTCACTTCCTYTTCCTATTTATCAGAGACTACTGGGGACATTTCCTCCCTTCCTGAAGTGGCTTTTGCCCTATTGATGTCTCCTGGAGTTACAATGGTGGAATAGTCAGTAAAGGGATTTAGGGTGAAAATTACATTGGCTTACTATTTTCTATATATTAACCCCATTACACTTAGACATAAGCCCTACATCACATAGAGAGATATATTTGGTTTTTGATTGCTATAATAAAAAAAATACAACAAAATTATTGATCATCTTAAAATTCTGTAGGTCAGACTCCAGTATATTCTCACCACCCAACATGTATATAATGCTGGATGACTTTTTCCAGGCTTCTTTCAGCTAGGTCATATGGTCCTGTGATCGTATGAGTCATAGAATCCATTGCTAGCCAAGAGGTGTCCTATAAAGTTCCTCCTGCAGGGTGCTCTATGCTGTCCTTCTTGCATGGTCTTCCATCTGGACAAAGAGGAGATCTAGATATCCACTGGCTGTTCCTCTTTCCCAGAGTTTCTAAGGGAGAATCTATTTTCTGTTCTTTCAAATTGTTGGCAGAATTCAGTTCCTCATGGTTGCTCAAGTCCCTGTTTCCTTTCCAAAACTTCTGAGGGATACATCATTCCTTAATTCATGAGCTTTTCCTTCCTCTTCAAAGCCAGCAAATGTGGGCAGTCCTTCTCAGCTTGCTGTTCCTGTCTGACCTAGACTCCTTCAGTCATCATCTACTTTTAAGGACTTCAGTGACTAGACTGGAAATACTCAGATACAACACCATCATCTTCCCATTTCAAGGTCCTTAAACTTAATCCTGTGTGCAAGTGACATATTTGCAGATTCTGGGGATTACCATGTGGACATCTGTGGAAAGCTGATTTTCTGACTACCACAAAGAAAACAACTGCTTAAAGATAATTTAAAATGCAAAAGAGACATTATTTTCTGTTCACAGCAATTATTTATAATTGTATCAAATGGCTGAAAGCATGACCAACATGCCTAGTTTTTTTATAAATCTTAAACATAAATTTTAAGCTAATTTTACAAATAACAAGTTTCCTATTTGGTTAACAAATTGACAAATATATAGTCAATTTGTAATTAAGAAATCCAGAAGTGGAAACAACAGACATCACCTTAAGAAGTAATATTTTTCAGAAATAATGAAGGAAGGTAGGGATGCAGAAATGGTAAAAATGAGCAATAAGTATTTTCCCATACTGACCAAATTTTTTCCTAGAAGACAAATCTTATAAGACAGTACATATTGTCAATGCAGCTAACAAAACCAAGAGCCAACCCAGAATGGAAGATGGATGTGAATCAGCAGAAAACAAAGTTAGATTAGATGAAAATATAATATGCCTAAATATTATTTGATGATAATCACATATCAGCTCCCCTGTGTGTTGTTATCATCCTTGTATAGATAGCACAATACACAGCATCAGGCATGTAGAAGGCACTAAATATTAATAACCTACAAATTAATTCTTTTAAATAAATTAAGTGATATTTATAGATTTTTATGTGCAAGGTACAACTTTAAAAGTCCCTCATGTTTCGTTTGTTCTCCATGCTTTTCAGAGCTTTTTAATAAATTATTTGCTTCACAGTACTATCAGGACCATCATTAAGAAAAAGTTTGGTCTCAGTAAGACTAAGAGATTTTCCTCTATAATTTGCATTAAATTATCATTACTTCTGAGAGTATTTGTCTAAAAGTTTTTGAAATCAAAGACTATTTCTTATCCATCTAAGTCAGGACAGCCACAGAAACAACCTTATACATAGTAAGGACATAGTAAAGTATAAATCAATTGAATGACTATAGGATAAAACCTCAAAAATCATTGAAGTTTTCATTAATTTTTGGCACTTATGTAGTAGAGATTAACTATATAATGCAAGCAGCAATGAACTAAAGAAGCTATTGAAAATATTCACCCAAAAGTCTGTTTTTCCACTCTTTAAGATGTTGAAAATTGGGCTGGGGTTGTGGCTCAGCGGTGGAGTGCTTGCCTAGCATGAGCAAGGCCCTGGGTTCGATCCTCAGCAACACATAAAAATAAATAAAATGAAGGTTTTGTGTCCAACTACAACTAAAAAACAAATATTTTAAATAAGATGTTGAAAATTAACTTGAACTATAATGCAATATGTGCCACATCACTGAGATTTTCAAGCAATAAACTGTATTATTACAGTTCATTTGCAAAAATATAAAGCAGAAAACCTTGAATTTGGTTGGGGAATAACTTTTCAGATTCTCAGTCCTAAAGTATTCACTAATAATATTTTGATTTTTTTTATCTAGGTGTTTATTGTATGTATCTGTACATGTCTAATATAATTCATTTATAATATTCCTACTTTTCTGCATATAGAAGTCAACCAAAAGCCATATGTGTATTAGTAACTATTGCAGGGGTTATAACTAGGGATTGAACTCAGGGGCACTTGACTACTGAGCCACATCCTCAGGCCTATTTTGCATTTTATTTAGACACAGGGTCTCACTGAGTTGCTTAGTGCCGCACTGTTGCTGAGGCTGATTTTTAACTCATGACCCTCCTATCTCAGTCTCCCGTGCTACTGGGATTACAGGCATACACCACGGAGCCTGGCTTTTGTTAGTAACCTTTTGCTGAGAGGCAAGTCACTTATAGAGACTTCTTAGTTTATCCCACCTATCTCTGTCTTCATTAAGTAAATTCTAGTTTCTCCTCTTATAACAAGGCTAGAAAGTGAAAGTTACATATTCAAATGTTTTAACATCTCATGTTAGGATTTTGTTTTGACAGCAATAGATGATATACTAAAAAAATCAAATAAAAATGCTTAAATATAGTTTTCCTTTCAAAGAGCAAATGTTTTAAAATAAAACAAAAGAGCTAATAAAAGGGGAGTTACTGAGAAATGTATTGACCAAATAATATTGTAATATTGTCTGCATGTACAAATATGTAACAATGAATCCTACTACTATATATGTACCAAATGAAAAGCCAATGTATAGAACATATAAACTGAAAGATGTAATGGGCCTCTTATAATCCTGTGTGGATATTTTCAAACTTCATTTTAATAGGGAGCTTGTTTAAATTTTTCAAACAATATTTAATATCAAGATTATACACACAACACAGACCACTACATATAAGGTTTTTCTGGGTGAAGTCTACATGAAGGCATGAGATGCAAACTTCCTTCCACTCAGCCTTCTTCTCTGCATCCTTTCCTCTCCCACCACTATACTTCCCCAAAGATCTATTCTGAGGCAGAGTTTGGGGAGAACAGTTCAGTTTTCCTCAATAAACAGAGGAATAAAATCTGAAGAGGACAAGAGATTTACCCACTTAGCAGATCAGTGTGTCAATACAACCTGGTTTTTCACTTTGTCTATTTGACTTTGCATATATTACTTTCTCTAAACCTTAGGTGTCTGGTGTGTAAGATGGATGTGATTATACTCACTTCCACAAACATTCAGAGTGTGAGAATGGTAACTGGTGAATATAACTATTATCTTYATACTGACTCCCAAAGAAAACCCCCAGATCTGCATGAAATGGAAGCATAAAAGTAATGGTTAATAATGGCAACCTTAGCTTAAAAATATTCTCTTTGATTTGTTTCAGGAAAGTAGTAGCTCATCCAAAAAGACGATTTGGCATCCCCATGGATCGGATTGGTAGAAACCGGCTTTCAAATTCTAGAGGCTAATTGATATCAAGTGTGAGTACAATTTGAATAAGTAGCAATGCATGCAAGTATTTGATTTAACATTTCATGATAGACTAATCCATTCTTGCTTATAAATTCCCTTTTTGATTTCTTAGCTCATAAATTCACTTTTTCAAGCATTTCTGTATACAATTAGTACATTGATGCTAAGCAATTTAATAGACATTTGGAAAACAGAGGAATGTCTTATATCTTCTTCATCCTAAAATATTATTTTCACAAATTTCTATGTAGTTATTAAATATTAACATGAAAAAAGTTTAAACTTATAATGAACACAATAAATCATCTTCATAAATATGCATAAGTATATAGTCATCCCTTTGTTATAAAAAGCACACATTTTATTATTATCAATGAAGATATTACTAGGATTATAATAATATGGAACATAGGAGAGAGAATGATATAGTAGAAAGAATATATAAGTCATGGAATCAAAATACTCTATTCAAATCCTGGTTGTCATTCATTATCTTGTTTCTGTCAGTATACCTTATTTTTATATGTCTTTTATGTTAAACTAGTATAGTGTCATTGTGAAGATTAAATCAGATCTTTGTAGTAAATCTAKAATATGTTGCACACACAATACTTGCGATTAACAACAATTTACATTACCATTCTGAAAATATACTCTGTCTTGGGCCCTACACTTAGTGCTTCACATGAATTTCTTCATTGAATCATTCTGCCCCTTAAAGTAGAACTATTTCTATCTCCAGTATCTTGAGAAGCAGTGCAGAATATGGAATAAAGGTGCCAGGGGACATCAGGTTTTCTAGGTTCAAATCCCAGGTCATCTATCTGTTAGCTGTAGGACCGACCTTAAATTCTTAAATCTTACTTTATAAAATTAGTATAATAACAATTTCTAACACATAGTATTTTCCTAAGGATAAAAATGAATGGATGCATATTAAGCACTTAGGGTAGTGCCTAATGTATAAGTATTTAATAAGGTATATGATTATTATTATTTTTATCATTATTATATAAGCAAGTAGAAGGTTTAGATATATTAATTAAATCACAATGCCATATGGTAATACATGCAGATAGAATTAAAATCCAGGAAACTTAAATCCTGATTTTATATGTCAAACACTTTATTTAATCATATACATTGTGTTTTAAAAACTAAATATTTTTGAATATGAAATCTAGGCAATATATTTTCTCTCAATATGGCTTACACAGGTTTATCCTTTCTCCCAAACATTTAAGACAACCTATAACTACCTTATCAGTTTCAGGCTAATGAAGAGGTAATTCTGTTTCCTGTTTCTCTAACAATAATCCTCAGATCAATAATGCAGTCTCCAAAAGCATGGTTTTTGCCCATTCCCCCCTTAATTTAAATGAACCAATTTTCCTTCTCCTCAAATGCTTTACAGTCACAATAAGAAGTACATATTTTTTATCAGAATGACTTAATTAAAATAAATTTTGTCCACTAGGTAATTGTTGATTAATAATGTTCTACAGTTACTGAATGCCCATAAATATAACTATTTATTGAATGCTATCTATTTTTACTTGTTCTAATTAGTTATACATGACAGTATAGTATACATTTTGTCATATCATACATAAATGGAGTATAACTTCTCATTTTTCTGATTGTGCATGTTGTAGAATCACACCAGTGGTATAATCACATATGTACATAGGATAATAATGTCTGATTCTTTCTACTATAATTCCTACCCCCATACTCCTTCCCCTTCCTACTACCTTTTGAACTGCACTATCTTCAAAACTCAGAATGAACTTTTTCTTCACATCTAGAATATACAAAGTACACTCATTCTTAAGAGTTGTTAAAAATCGCCACATTAAAGTAGGAAGTAGCTAATTGCTATTAAAACCCAAGTAATACATGGAATAGGGCCCATGTCCTCCAGTTTCTTAATGTATTAATTGAATGGCACTGAGATTGAAACAATTAAATTCAATTAACTCTCCACTCTTGATTGTTACCCATTTTTAAATTTCTGAATTAAACCGAAACAAGTATGATAAACAGGAAATACATGCTCATATGAATACTTATATAAAGTCCCAGGCCATAGAAATTCTGGATAACTCCTAATCTACAGAGTTGAATTAATATAATCTTTCCTGAATCACTATTCAGTACAATCCAAATTAGTAAATTTTATCCTTCTCTTAACAAATTTTGTTTAGCATCTTGAAAATTGCTTTTTTTTAATCTTTAAAATCTTAAGACAGTAATATCATGAAAGACTGGTTTAGAAAAGAACTTAACATCATGTATTTTATCTTTCCCTTTTGTCAATCATTGCGAATTCACCCTCTTAATTATTGTTTATATTCCCACAAATATCCCCAAGATTTTTTACTTCCTCATGTGAAGTTTTGTGTTTTATATGAATAACAGAACCCACAAAATGATATTTATATCCATTCAAATTTTCAAGGTTATTTTTGACATCTTTCTTCCTATTGTGACTACATGCCTTTGAAAAAAGCATGTGATATAACATGCAACTCATTTATTAGATAACAAGTCATTGAATAATGTTCCTATAGTCAAACAGCTAMGTAGTTGGATATCCAGAAACTTAGAGTCTTTTTAATCCAATCCCAGTTTTTAAAGCAATTCAGGAAACAGTTGCTGTGAGAGGAAATTGATTTACCCAAACTTTTACAGACTCTTGGCCAAAGCAAGATCTAAGACTCAGGTTTGGCCTTCTAGGCCAACATTCTCTTCATGGCCCATCAGGCCTTCTTGTTGCTAAATTGTCATTGTTGAATTTTAACTTCACTGGTTATACTTTCTAAAACAAAGAGAAACAAGATCTTAGACATTCTGAAAATCTTTGTTTCATTTCTGTGAGGGTTGAAATATTATCTTTTGAAGCAAGTTTAGTTGTGGGTTTTCACCTTCTGGGTTTCATTTTAAGTCTTCACACCAAAAGTGAAACTGGTACCTAATCATGGAAGTTTTGCTTGGTTTGAGGTCAAGTCTAGACACAGCTGCTATGCACTACCTAGTTTCCAAACTGATACCAATCTCCTCTGTGTTTTAGAAAAGAAGATAATCTAATATTTTCACAATATCTTTCTCAAATTATTAATACATTGTACCAAAGTTTTGAGTTTTTAAATGGGCCTTAGTTCTAAGCAACACAAATTTAAAGAGGTGTTCTATGTCTCAGGTATCATAGCTTCTCTAGACGCAATTAGCAAGTTCTGTACCTCTGCCATTAAAATCAGGATACCTGCCTGATGAAATTAGCAATATGACAATTAAGATTCCTGCATTAAGGCTATTATTTTAATAATGTGATGAATATGTGTGGTTTTATAATGACAATTTTTAAATAATTTTATATAATTTTTTATACCTTTATTTTTTTATGTGGTGCTGAGGATCRAACCCAGGGCCTTGCACATGGTAGGTGAGCATTCTACTGCTGAGCCACCACCCCAGCCCATGACAATTTTTATTTTAGAAAAATTTTGATAACTATCATTTAAATAAATTAATATAACTCTCAAGTATAGCAGGAAGATCATACATAAATGACAGTGTATGTTGGGATTCCTTTAACAAGAGCAAAATAGATAGCAATTATTGATATGTTAGCTAACAATAAACAGAAAGTTGTAGTCAGCTTTTCTTTATCTGTCTTTCCTTTGTCGTGACAGCATCCTTTGAGCCAAGATTGAAAGTTCAAGTGAAATAGAATACAGTAGATATATGAAGAAAGGAGTTTTAACAGAAACTTTTTATAAATTTTATTAACACATGAGCACAAACACCTAGAACATATACATTTTTTWAAATGTTCTTTAGTGCATTTTGATCCAAAACTATTGTTTTGCATTATTTTCAAAATAAAAATATGCCATATAAATAAAAACTATGAAATATCATATAATTAGAGGTTTAGCTTATCTTTATTAAAGTTGATGGATTTTCACCTGATCTATCTCATTAGTTTTAGCAATTTCAACTTTCATTTTTYCAGATGCAACTTCCTTGGGTGAAATGACACAGAAATGTGGAAGATGCTTCCGTGAAGTTCTTCATACTCCTTAAGCATAAAATTTTAAAGAACCAGCCTTCTGCAAATCTTTTCCAAACCTTGAACTTCAGTCCATCACGTCACAGTATTGTTTTGGTTTCATTAAATTATGCAGATCACTTCAATGCATGTATATTTTAAATATGTATGTTAATTATTCAGGCATGGTTACCTGCTCRCCAGACCTCATTTTTTTTAATCACATTCAAAAAGCATGATATAGAGAAATACCTTCTATAAGTATGTACAATTCTTCTTCTTTTTTTTCAGTTAAAGAATAGTAATGAGAGAGATTTGAGTCTTAAAACTAGATAAAATCTGTTTGTTCATTATTGGGTAGTAAGGAAAGGCCATGATGTGTATTTTCGCTGGAGTACATTCACYTGTCTCTTTTTCTTTGTCCATAAACTTGTTGGTAATAATAATAATACTAGACTTTTATCATATTCAAGTTTTGTCCACTTTAACCAAATAAAACACAGCCCCAGTGAGCTGCAAAGCCAGAGTTGTTTTAGAGTTAGAGATATTACTCATTTGTTAAACTTTTATATTTCTTATTCCCCAAATTTTCTATAAATTTTAACTGATAGCTAATAAACAGCAGCAGTGGTTCATTATGAGGGGAAAAACTACACATAAAAGTAACAGATGAAAGTAGACAGGAAGTTAAACAATCAGTAAGCAGTAAACCACCACCCAGACCAGGGCCAGCACAGCACAGAACATTTCAGCATAGAACAATGGCAAATCTTTTTTGGAAGTATTGACTCATCTAGGAAATTATTTACCCTAGTTCAGACACTGTGCTTAATAAGGCATTGAAGAGCATAATGTATTTGGAAGTGGTGTATTTAAAATGAGGCAGATTATTTTTAATTGACCTATCAAGGCATRAGAGTTTGCACTTTCGAAAATTCAGTTCTCAGTAAAAAGTGTGATGTCACTGCAGTTTAGGTGTATAAGCATTGTGTGCTGGAGATACTTTCAAAATACAAAAATAACATGGAACAGCATGAGTAATTTGGCAGAAATGTGTATAGCATCTGTAGAACACTCTTCCTTTAAACTCTCGCAAAACTCACCTTCCAACAGACCTAATATACTTGTATGGTACACAGAGCAAAATAAACTCAAAGAAATAGCATGGTGACAAAAATACATTAGAAAAGAATTGAATGGATGATTGGCCTAAGTTAAAAAATAAACAAATTTTTAGTTATCCAACATGCTTTTTAGAAACCCAATTTAGAAGATCTGAAAAGAGGTAAAAGAAATAATGGTGGATACTTAGAACACATAGCTGTTTTGCATAAAACTTCTCAGTTTTTCTGGAAATTTTCAAATTGCTTAAAAATCTTCAAAGTTTAGGGAAAACAGTAAATGAGTGTTTCTTTTATTTGCAATAGAGAGCTTCAGTAAAGAGAAATTAATTTTGAGAAAGCTAATCAATTATGTTCTTCATACTTGTTTTAGCTATTTAGCTAGTTCTTGTTTTAGCTATCAGTAGCACTTGGGTAAATATTCTACAGGGCTCAAAGTTTGAGGGGATTATTTAAGAAGTAATGGTTACCACAGATCACAGAAAATATGCAACCTTTGACTTTTGTGGACTGGTCTATTTCACTTAGCATGTAGTTTCCAGTTTCATCCACTTATCAACAAATGCCATAAAGTCATTCTTCTTTATAGATGAGTAGTACTCCATTATGTATATATAGAAGCTAATCCAAAATAAGGCAATGGGTTTATAAAACAATAGAATAAAGATAAGTAGAATAGACAAAGAGGAATGAAAGAAAGGGAGTAAGGATGGGATATAGAATGACAGTGGAATGAATCTGACACAACTTTCCTTTATACATATATGAATAGACCACAGTGAATTTTATCATCAGATACATCCATCAGACACTAATTAAAAAAAGAAAGACTAAGTAAATAGCAGAAAGATCAGTAGATTAGAAAAAAGGGAACAGAGGAAAGAAGGAGGGGGAGGGAAGAGGAAGTATTGGGAACTGAATTAGAACAAATTATATACCATGCTTCCATAATTATGTCAAAATGCATCCTGTTGTCATGTATAACTAAAGAGAACCAATAAAATTAATTAAAAGAAATAATGATTTCTCCTATCTACTTTCCCCAGCCTTCTGATGAACTATGGGAATGTTCCCTATTCCTGGGAAGTTCCTTCTTTCCATTTTATCCCATTTGAATATTAGTAAGCATCTAAAGCAACTAGGTGCTACTTTGTGCTTTGACAAATGGATTGAGTTATGACATCCAATTTAAATAAAATATGACATCACAATCTATTCGCTGATGTTTATTTTTATATGCAATGCCTGTCTAATATACACAAAACTTTAATGAAGAAAAAATTTTTCCCCATCTATAATTTCATTTTCATATTTTAATTTTTATCACTTCAGACAAAATAGAAAATAAGTCAGCAATATCGTAGTTTAAATAGGATCCTCTTCTAATATAAATATAAATTAAGACATCACTTTCAGTTAAGAACATGAAACTCATTTCATTTCTCTGTTCAATGGACTTGCTTATTACTAAATCTAACTACATTTCATTGGAAAGCCACAAATTTGAAGGATTGTTTAGTTTGAAATAATATGTTACCTTTTTAACTCCTTGCCCCCATGCAGTGTTTCATAATGCAAATGAATATGTGAACATGGATTTCTGCCTGCTGGTGCAATTACATAACCAACTTTTTATGAGAGGACATTGATTCCTGGCTATATTATCTTAAAATTTATACTACAAAAAAGCTGTCAATTGTACGTTTAGACTGTAGATATCTTCAGGGAATTAAATTTCTTAAAGAAATTATTGAAAAAAAATAATAAAATCTTCTAAAAAGAAGAGGCATCAAAAACTTTGTGAATGTCATTATTTCTTTATACCCAAAGATTTAAGATACTTAAATATTGTTCAGCTTTTCCAAAGTTAATAACCATGAGATGATAAAAGAATTTTTCATCTTTCTTTTGGTAAAAGTACATTTGTGTTTACAACTATTGTAAATACATGGAAACATCTTCAGGCATTACTGTGCCACTAATATTTATTAATGTACACTTGAATAGTTCCTAAGCAAGTATATTGGTAGCATTATAGGCAAGTTGCTAAAATTAGTCTGTTTTATGTACTGTTTTACTTTGAGGGGCTTAAGAAAAACTGTTCATGTCATCTTTTGAGATTTTATCTTTAAGAACCACACATGATTAGATAAAAATTCATTTCTTCCTCATATGGTAAAGTAAGGGAATGTGTGTGAGCTCATCTGGTCAGCTACCACATACTAGTCAAGTCATTTAAATTCTTTAGTTTCTTTGATAATACCTCTGTTCCAGTATGGGTGGCAGACAGAATTCAGACTAAATTTCCAACCTTGGATTGGTTAAATAAGCTTTCTCAGATGTAAGCAAAACTAGCCTGATGAATAGGCAGGAAACAAGGCCTGAGGGTGTAGCTCAGTGGTAGAGTGCTTGCCTATCATGCATAAGGCCCTGGGTTCAATCCCCAGTACCAAAAAAGAAGAAAGAAAAAGTAGGTGTGAAACAAAAATATAACAAAGGAAAACCAAGGAGCTCTTTGGTCTTTGGTTGGTGGTTTTTATTACACTAGGTCTATCCTCTTACAGGCATGCTGGGAGTCTCAAATAGTTTTGTAATGTTGTAGGGGCAACAGAGCTGAAAATTAATAGACATATTGTTTTGTAAGAAAGTTTTCTTACATTTTATTGTAAGAGACATCCAGCACTACTTCTCCTAGAGTCCAATAAATAATACATTTCTGCTTGTCAGTAATATATGTTTTTTTTTCAATAGTCTCAGTGACAATTGTTCAAATTAACAGAAAATAAAGGGTGACCAGCACAATCATAAAAAAATAATAATTCATATTTTCCACATAAATTGATACAATATAATTTATTTTAATTTTCCAAGATGCTTTTTAAAAATATTTTAACTGCAGTCATCATAAGACAAAACTATAAGCAATGAATTTATGAAAACATAAATAGATACAGCAATTTCAACTTCAGCTCAAAAGTCATTTTAATAGTCACATGCAATTCACCAATGCAAGTGATCTGTCATTATTCACAACATAAACATTAAGTACATTGGAACCCACTTAGTAACAAAGTGAGAAAAATAATGTGCAGAAAAAATGCCACAGCATCTTTATGTTTGAAACACTTGCAGTCTTTAAGCAGTAGAGATTTTGTAAATAGACATATAGATAGATCTTTGTCTGCCGTTCTTATCTTTTTTGCATCCATAGAAAAAGCTTTAGACACAGTATTTCCAAAAGCAAGCTAAAGAAAAAAAATGTTTTTATTAGAAGGGTATTTTATGAAACCTTATATTTTAATAAAATGTGTGTACTTCAGGGAGTAGGAGGGACTGCTTTGTGAAAAGCATATTCAATATAGTAACTTTATGTGTATCTAGCTTTATCCTTAAATTAATTAAAATTAAATAACTAACAATTCAGCTTCTCCATTATACCAACTGCATGTCAAGCACTTGGTAGTGAGTGACTCGAAGCCATTGTCTACCAGAATGATAATGCAAATTAGAGAATGGTCCCATCACAGAAAGTTCTATTGGACATAACTGTTATACATTACAAGGCATGTAATTCAATCCAGAGAACATGGTAGGATGACCTGTTAAATTCACTCTTTTATGTAATTGAARTCTCAAAGAGGAAGTCACATAAGTAAAACACAGTGCTAAATTTGCTTTTATTTACTGAGAAAAGASGAAGAACGAGAGTTTCAACATCGCATTGCAAACCACCAAGTGATATTTAAATAAATTCAATCTTTATCACACTGAGCCTTCAAATTGTGATCATAAAATTGTGCTTCAGAATAATCAAATAAAATTTAGCATCACTTTAATCCTTAACTATGCAAATAAATCATTTTAAGTCTTCCATGGGCTGTTCCTGATCTATCATGTTTCTTACAGTAGGTTCATCTAGCTAATTATAAATTTCTTTTGTTTCCTTCTATCTAAATGTGTATAAAACCTTTGAGAGATGAGTCTTTGGTTAAGAAATAATGGGATGCACAATGAAAAAGAATTAAAAAACCCATAGTATAATTTAGCCACTCTCTGAAATAAATGATTAAASTCTATCTGCTTGCCCAGCTTTCCTTCCCCAACTAAACTCACTTTAAAAACACCTGTGCTTGGCACCACATATACATAGTGTATGGCATAATACTCAGAGTATACTTCTCATTTCTACAAGATCCACAGCTTTCTTTAAACAAAACTAAACTCAAACCCCTGTGAAAGCAGAAGTCTATTTTTAGACATGAAACTGAGGAGCTTGGCCCACAAATCCAATTTTCTTTTTATAGTATGCCTTGGAAAGTTATCATCACTGTGCTCTCTGTCCTTTCAGAGATCTTTGAATATCTCTATCTGGCAGAAAAATATAAAACTACACTTAGCCA